GCAGCGTGCTCGCCAACTAGCAACAACTATTATTATGGAGTACTAGTGTTATCAAACTCGGCTGGTTGTTTGGTTAATTTGGATTTTGGACTAAACGTTCTTGATCCGTTAGTTTAATCAAGGTTTGAACTAACGATTCTTGCTTTGTTAGGTTATATAATTCAACATTGTTCATATTCTCTCTATTCTTCAAGTAGCCGAGCTGTGGTGATTATTCACAACAGTTCAGAGTTTCAGACTTCCTTTGTCAATTAGTATTATTGTTTTGATCAGGCTCCAAAATAGGCGGAGCTAGCTAGCTAGGTGGCACGTTAGACCATAGACCACTCTAAGGGCTCCTTTGGATCAAAGGAATTTCATAGGAAAAATGTAGGATTCTCAATTCCATAGGAGTGGCTACTGTAGTCTCCTTTGGTTCATAGGATTGAGCCGTAGGAATTTTGGAGGAAATAATCCTTTGTCATCGATTTCCCAGGAGAAACGTAGGAAAACAAGCATCCAGTCCAAGCTCTTGTTTTGCTAAGGACCAAGGCAAATCACAAAGATTACGCAGAGGTGGAGCAGCTGGTACTCCACAGTCCGCACGGGAACAATGCATGTGGGAGAGAGAGAAGCTAGTACTCTACTCCCGCTGCATGCATGGAAATGATGGACGGAAACAAAACAACCAGAGTGGGTTCATGGTAGTATTTCTATTTCCTAAGGTTATTTGTCTTTGCTTAAATAAAGTATTTTGTTATACTAGTTTAATATGAGAGGATTAGATATTTCCTAAGGTTGCTATTCCTACGAATCTCCTGGGTCCATCCAAACAACAACTAATGCAAGTTTCCTGTGTTTTCTAATCCTCGGTTTACACGTGCAATCCTATCATATTCCTCCATTTTTTTTATTCCTGTGTTTTCCAATCCCGTGTTCCAAAGGAGCCCTAAGAGTTGAATCAATATTAGAACTATAGTAGATATGCTATCTAATATAATATGTATGGAACAGGAACACTCTAACTATTTTGGACTGCTCAACTTCCAACGGTTTCAACATGACAAGGCATCCGAATTTTGAAGTGTCAAATTTGAATCGGGTGGTACAGGTTTCACCTAGTAAAAAAGACATTTAATAAAAATTGAAAAAAAAAGCTTTGGGACACCTAGATTATAACTGAACTCGAGAACCAGGCCCAACAGTAACCAGTTCCAACCAGAGTTTCAACTAGACCCAGTTTCAACTTGCCATAATCCAATATCAACCAGACACAGAACCAGTTACAGTTCGGCTGTACATATTTAGAACTAGTCAGAAACTCAGAATATCTAGTTCTAACCAGACCTAGGGTGTTGTTTGGATCAAGGACAGTTGGTGCAAACGTAAATGGGACCGGTTCATAGCTTCAGCAGGAATTAATGGAATGGTTGTTCACTTGATTTGTTTGGCTCAATCGCACGACCTCACCGAAGTTCGTATGGTAACCGGATCACATAAGGGCACGTACAACGGGCGTCTTTTTCTCGTCTCGGTGATGGTCCTTTTTCAGAAAACCCCCCAGCTCAGCCGAGAGACGGGCGCATCGTCGCCTCGCGAGGCGACGGCCATGTCCCGTGCTCCGATGCGGAACAGACGACCGCGGCTCCGTACGGCCTCGTCTCCTACAGGCGACGGCACGCCGATCCCGCGCGTGGGCAGCAGCGGCGCTTATAAAGCAGCGATCGATTTGGGCGCATGGATTTTTCCGCGCCAAATCCATCTCCACCTTCGTATATCCCTGGATCCATGGCGTCTTGCTTCTTCGACGCCGTGGGCGGGGCCACCTCGACCACGCGCAGAGATCGTGGCCCGGCCTCGTCGCGCAGCTGCTGGCCCCGAGGGGATTTACCGGCGGCGCTGGCGCCGAGGACTACGCTGCAAGGCTGCTCGGGGGCCTCACGACCGCGGCCGCGACGGACGGCCGCGTCGGCTATGACGACTTCGGAGGTACATGGACGACAAGGAGCTCGAGCTCTACCGCATCTTCCAGGCCATCGACGTCGAGCACAACGGATGTATCCTGCCCGAGGAGCTCTGGCACGCGCTCGTCAAGGCTGGTAACTGCAATGCCACTGCTCCTCGCCTTATTCCTTCCTCTCTTTTTTTGCAAGTACCGTATTCCTTCCTTTTAGTGATTCCTCTATTCCACTCCACCATAGCTGCAATACTCGAATGAGGTTTGAGTGAGAGAGTGTGAGACTGTGGATAAAATAGTGTTTTCCTGAGCTACAAATTTAAGTGTTCCTTGAGATGTCATGAGAAATGTATTCCCTAGCTTAATACTGCCATAAGCTTAGTTCAGTGCTGCACTGTTCTTTGTTGCTTGTAGTGGTGGAAGCTAGGATGTCCACTCTTGAAAAGTTGAATAATAGTCCAGTACATGTTTGTGCTGCAGTATCCCTAACTAATCTAGGTACCAAAGTTCAAATTTGGCAATTGGTGTAAAAAAATGCAATGCTCGATATATTGATGGAGAAATCAAGTAAGGCAGTGCTTTGCTTTTGGTCAATAAAGTCACTCAAGTTTTGTGATGGTTCTAGACTTCTAGTGATGCCATGGGGACATGGGCTCCTTAAAATAGTTAACTAAGATAAAGGCCCTTCCATAATTTGGGTATCCTTTTTTCAAATTTGGTGATCAGGATGCAACACAAAGTATTGATGGAGACATACTGCACGGGATAGATTCTTTTTGTGGTGATCAAACTTGAAGTGGAATTTTGTGGTTTGATTTTGAACCTGGTAATCATTAGTTACTGTAAATACAACAACATAGTTTCGCTTATTGGATCATAAACTCCATTTTAGCGTTGCAATGAGCTTCACCATTTCATAATTTTAATCAGTTTCGATATCTTAATTTATGTTTAATCATGTATGTCAGAATATCAGATGAAAGTGGCTAAACTGATCATGTGTTTGTTGTGTGTGTGAGTATGTTTGTTGGCATATGTGGGCGGAACTAAGTCACCATTCTGAAAATAGCAAGTAGTTCCTTGTATGTGAAGTCTGTTTTAGCTTTGAATAAAACAGTGGGCTGTATTTGTCAACACTGGTAAAAAAAATTATTCAGCTTGTATTCTTTGATTTACAGTAATTTCAGTCACTATTTATGTTTGCTCATACTACTGTCAGCCATTCTGAAAACGTGCAGGCCACACTGCTATCTGAACTGTCAGACTTCGACACTGCTATCTGAACTGCTATCTGAATGTTATCTGAACTGCTATTTTCTGAATTCTGATTGTGAACTGATGTCTGAAACTGCTATCTGAATGCTATCTGAACAGAGCTAATGCTCTTGACTTCATCTCGCAATTTTGATTTAAGAATTATCTCTCAATTTTGTGGGACATGGTGTGATCTACGTGATGCTATGATCTACAATTTTTCTGTGCAGAGGATGAGTTGTGACCTACCTGATGGTGTGATCTATCTGTTATCTACTAGTTATTATCTGAATGTCATCTACTAGTGACTGCTATCTGAATGCTATCTTTTTTGTGTGACCATGTTACTGCTATCTGAATTTTCCAGTTAAATGTCTCTCATGCGTAACTGAGGCATTAGTGAGTGTAATCATGTTGCTCTTATTTATCCTTTATATATTTTCTATCAAATAACCATACAATGGTATACAAAATTTATTTATAGTTGATCCTAGCTACATGCAAAGCATTAAAATTTAGAGAGAGACGGACTCATCCGTGGGTTTATATGACTTGTCTTTATACCCGTCTATATGATAGATTCGAGGTGCTTAGAGACGGACCATGTCTGTGAGTTGTACATGCCCTGGCTCTCGCTAGTGGGCAGAATCAATTTTACACTGCACAGCGTCGTATCAGATCCCACGGTGATTCGATTAAAAACCAACCAACCGTAATTTACGGAAACCTATAGCGGCGTGAAACATTCATGGGGACCAAATGACCCAACCAAACAGCACCTAGTTTCAACCGCCTGCCATTAAACAAGTTGTCCCACAAACACAGTAAAAAAATAAAACAACCAGATAGCAGAAATGTGGAACGAAGGACAGAAACAAATAGCTAGGCTGATCGAACGGTGCCACAATGCAGCGTTTGAGCAGCTAGAAACGCTCCAACGATGGATAACTTTTTGAAAAAAAAAAACCTAAAGGGTTCTATTCCACATCACAGATGATTGACTTTTGATCAATTGCTCCAGGAACCTCAAAGATTATGATGCTGGATGCATGGGTCGCAAATCACAAGAACGTAATGATTGGCATACGCCAGCGAGAGAGAAGGGGGGGAAAAAAGCATGCCTCCTGCATGATCTTATTCACGATGTTGTCGTAATTTAAAATCAGGCATGGGTAGACAATGGCTGCGGACACGGCAGCTGAAGCCTTCCAAATCTGCGTACGGTTAGTTGGTCACAAACGCACGCACGCACGCGCGCGCGCACACACACGAGTAGTACATGACACTCCATCCCTATCGGCGCGGAAGAGATCGAGACTCGCCCTCACCGGACCCCGTCCCCGGTGGCTTCATGGCTAGCGCATGGCAAGATCCTCTTGAAAAGCCGCGTTCACACTCGCCGCGCTCCTTTCCGTCCTTCGCGTTGGAAGAAAAGGGCTTTTGAAGATTCCGTCTTCCCCACCAGTTTCCCACCCACGTCACGTCGTCCCCCACCACCGTCCCGGTCGCGGTTGCCCCCCTGCCTGCGCCTCCTTCTTGCCGCCCGCACTAGCCTTCAGAGGAACGCTGGGTCGCTGCGGTCGTCCACGTGGCCAGATGGAAAGCGGAAGCCGCCCCGCGACACGGTCGCCCGTCCAACTTGGCATGTCGCACTAGCCCCGTATAAATAAGCTTCTCGTCACCAGATCGGGAATCCTCTCGCAAACCAACGAGCACTGATCCAGAAACCAAAGCTTGGCAAGAGGAGGCGTCTGTCTAGTCCGTCCGCGCGCGCCGAGGCACAGCGTGAACTGCTCGATCGCGAGCACGCATGGGGAACTGTCTGAAGCCGCAGCGCGCAGCGACGTGGGCGGACGGCGACGAGTGGGAGGAGGCGGCGGAGGTCTGCAGCAGCAAGGCGGCGGCCGCTGCCGTCGAGGAGAAGAGGGTGGAGGTGAAGATCAGGGTGACGCGGCGGCAGCTGCAGGAGGTGCTGGAGAAAGGGGTGCGGCGGCAAGGCCAAGCGGCGGCAGGTGGAGGAGGTGCTGGCGGAGCTGATGGCTTCCGGCAGGGTGTGCTACCAGCAGGAGATGAGGCGGCACTGGAGGCCCGCCCTGTACAGCATACCGGAGGCCGCCGTCGAGGAGTCGTGATGGCTGACGAGTTCTGTGCCTCTCTCGATCAGAGTTTTCTGTCTGGTTAGTTCTGTATGCGCGTAGTTGCTCTAGGAAGATGCAGGTTTTAGCGATTCTTTCCGAGATATTGTACAGGCTTTCAAACTGAAAATGCTGATATGGAGCAGTTACTTGAAATTTGCACAATGTTACCATCACCTCTGTTCCTACTCCTTAGTGCATGCAGATGAAAACCGGTGGAATGCCAGCTAGGCCTACAAAATAATACTCCATGTCCATGGCTTTGCTCTGAGCAAAAAATACGGATTATTAGGTGTAGGGTACCGATCTTACAGTACTTTACTTCCAGTCTAGTCAGTGCAGGCGCTATGTATGCTCACCTAGAACTTCAGGTCCGTCAAAAAAAACAGTCAGTCCTTGTTTAGTTTCAGGAAGTTGAAATTTAGGGCTACTGTAGTACCTTCGTTTTTATTTGGCAATTAGTGTTTAAACATGGACTAATTAGACTCAAAACGTTCGTCTCGCAATTTCCCACCAAACTGTGCAATTAGTTTTTCTTTTCGTCTACATTTAATGCTCCATGCACGGGCCGTAAACATTCGATGTGATAGATACTGTAGCACTTTTTGGGATTTTGGTGTTGAACTAAACACGCGCTCAAACGGAAACTCTGTAGCGAAAATGGACAGTTACCAGCTCTGCTTTGCGTCCATTTGTTGGGAGCCCGACTATAAGCTCCGCGTTGAAGATTGAACTAGTCCATTCTTGTTGTCAAAAAAAAAAAAAAACCTAGTCCATTCTACTTTCTACATAGCACAGGAAACCAGTGATAACTTATCCCGTTGAGTTTAGGACCAACCAACGCTTGCCGCGCGCACGGTATGAACTAGAGTCGATAGTTGTTATGCATCGAAAGATGAAGGCTGCATCGACTCGCGATTTACGTACGTAGGGCCCATCTGTAGGCAATTTGAGCATTTTAGGCATCGCCCACACATAAATTTATTATTTGGTCCATCCGATATTCATCTTGAATTCACCATTCACGGAAACCATCACTATCATATTGTCCTCATCATCCTGTGCGACTCACAGTAGGCTCGATCCATTATTTTTTCAGGATGGCTAATCCTTGTGTTGGTTCGCCGCTCCTTCCCTCGTGACTCCGTGCAATACGAAAATGACGGGTCATCGCATGGCAACAACCGGTGATCGGCCCGGTCCTCTCGTGGCCAGTAACATCAGCGAGGTCCGTGGCCATTGTAGCCTTGTCTCCTCGTATTGTAACCACCACCTCTGCAGAAGCAGACAGCCTAACGCAAGCCACCGCTCCTCTGACCATCACCTATACCTTGGCGGCTTCCCTCTAGACTTGTATCAAAATCTATTGGAATCACATAAAAGAAAAAAAAAAGAGAGAGAATGATATATCTAAGTAGTGATACTTAGGTCAAGACAGAATTTTATAGATACAATTAGGTTCAGACCTGCTATCGTTCTCTAAATAGAAGGGGTGTTTGGATCCACGGACTAAAGTTTAGTTCTCGTCACATCGGATGTTCAGATGCTAATTAGAAAGACTGAACATAAGCTAATTATAAAACTAATTGCACACATGAAGACTAATTTACGAGATAAATCTACTAAGTCTAATTAATCTATTATTAGCATATGTTTACTGTAGCACCGCGTTGTCAAATAATGAATTAATTAGACTTAATAGATTTGTCTCACAAATTAGTTCGACTAAAGCGGCGGCGGCCGTCGAGGAGAAGAAGGTGGAGGTGAAGATCAAGATGACGTAGCGGCAGCTGCAGGAGCTGCTGGAGAAGGCCAGCTGCGGCGGCGGCCGTAGGGACGGCGGCAAGGCCGAGCGGCGGCAGGTGGAGGCGGTGCTGGCCGAGCTGATGACTTCCGGCCGGGTGTGCTAGGCGGCACTGGAGGCCCGCCCTGTACAGCATACCGGAGGCCGTCGAGGAGTCGTGAACTCGTGATGGCTCCCGAGTTTTGAGCCTCTCTTGGTCGGAGTCGGAGAGACTGAGGGTGCTCGATCAGGGTTTTCCGTCTGCTTAGTTCTGTATGCGCATAGTTGCACATTGCTCTAGGAAGATGCAGGTTTTAGCGATTCTTTCTGAGATATTGTGCAGGCTTTCAAACTGAAAATGCTGATAAAAGATCATAAGAAGCAGTTACTTTAAGTTTGCCCAATGTTTATCACCTCTGTTCCTACTTCCTACTCCTTAGCGCATGCAGATGAAAAACGGTGCAATGGCAGCTAGGCATAGAAAATAGTACTGCATGACTTTGCTCTCAGGCCTGTTGGTCATAAACGATCGTAAATTTCTAGCCAGAACAGTATTTTTCTCTCACACCAAACCAGCCAACAGTAATAATCCACGATCGTATACAATCGTTTCAGCCCCGGCCGAACATGCTGATTAATATGGATTATTAGGTGTACGGTACCGATCCTACAGTACTTTACTTCCTGGAGCTAGTCAGTGCAGGCGCTATGTATGCTCACCTACAACTTCAGGTGCGTCCAAAAATCAGTCAAACGGAAACTCTAGCGAAAATGGACAGTTACCAGCTCTGTATTGCGTCCATTTGTTGGGAGCCCGACTATAAAGCTCCGCGTTGAAGATTGAACTAGTCCATTCTACATTCTAGATAGCACAGCCCGGTGATGACTTATCCCGTTGAGGCTAGGAGCCTAGGACCAACCAACGCTTGCCGCGTGCACGGGATGAACTAGAGTCGATAGTTGTTATGCATCGAAAGATCAAGGCCGCATCGACTTGCGATTTACGTACTTTGGGCTCATCTGTAGGAATTAGGAAATTTGAGCATTTTAGGCATTGCCCACGCATAAATTTATGAGGTAAATGCATCGTAGGCCCTTCAACTTGTCTTGGGGTGCCACCTAGGCCCACGAAGTCTCAAATCGTACTTCTGACATCCTAATGTTGTTTAAGTATATCACTTAGGTTCATAACTCATCAGAATAAGGTTTTGACCGACGTGGCGTGGACAGCGTGGCGCTGACTGTGTCCAAGCGCGCGTGAGCCGCGCGTGAGCCTGGTTTGAGGCGTGCAAATAAGCAGAGAGGGCCCCCAGTTCTTTTTATATCCTCCATTTCCTCTCCTCTTACTCATCCCTTCTCTGTCTCTGTCTCTCTGCCCGAACTCCAAGCCGCCGCCGCCGCCTTGTCGATCTACTCCATGGCACCACCAGGGAGCACGTCGTGCTCCAATAGGTGTGCGGGCGGCCTTCCCCTCATCCCGTGCACCGAATGCGGTGGTCGAATGGTGGTGAGGCGCGTTTCCACGCAGTCATGGAGTGCAGGGAAGGTATTCTATTGTTGCCCAGACCATAAGGTGAGTTATGGTTTGATGATTCAAATCTTTAGCACTTGGATTGTTGTGTCCTTGTTGCAATTGAGTTGGATTTGGTTATTTTGGCAGAGGGATGGCAGCGGGTGTCTATTTTTCTACTGGGAAGCAGACTACATCAAGCACATCTTAAAGATGCTGAAGGAAGGTGGCAATGGCACATGTGAAGCCCAGTCCGAAGGAGAATCAAACCTACTTCCCTATGCTGGCCTGATGGACAATGCAGTGGCCAACAAAGCTCAAAGAAATCAAGGAAAGGACCAAGACGTAGTTCGTTTGCTGAATGTGATATGTGTTCTCTGTGTGTGTATAGTGTTGGCACTTGTGTTAGTTGTGGTCGTTCAGTTATGCAAATAAACTCAGTCACAACTGTGTAAGAGTACTCATTGTGTAATGTGAACATCAGAAGCAATGGAAAACCATCCTTTTTATCTTAATTTTCGATCTATTTTATAGTTCACCTGATAGCAGTAATAGCATCCATGTGCACATACACTGTTTTGGTCAGTGATTCATGTGATGATCTAAATAAAAGACTATTACCACCATCTCAAACATTGTTCTGGGGCCATGATAAGCTTTACAAAAGATTATACATCACAATCTAAAGCCTTATGCTGGTGCTGAACAAAAGCACAGAAGGACTCCACAAAAGCACAAAAGGACTTGTCATCTTCTACTGCTTGTCTGTAAACTTTGGAGATGAGGTCTTCTTCTTCTTAGGGTCTCCTCCCTTCTTCTGCTGACCTTTGGACTTATCACCCTGCTTGGCACTTCTCTTAGATGCTGTTGACCTCCCGAGCTTTGATGCAGTTATAGGTGGCAGTGGTCTTGTGGTTGGCAGGTTTGTTCCAATGAATGCAGAGGCTGGCATGGGTTCCTGTTGCCTCACCATGCTGCTGGTCTGTGAAGACTGGGAAAACAAGTGTTTGTTAAATGTGACAATAGTAGTTGTTAAAGCATAGTGTCGTACCTCTTCTTCTAGCTGTGAAAGCATAGTGTTTGTTAACTGTGACAGTAGTGGTGTGTTGGTTTCTGGAAAATGAATGGCAACCTGCAAGCATAGACAGTTAGCTGTGCAAGCATAGTGTAAAATTGGTGTATTGTGAGTAAAATATTTGGTCAGTCCATACTACCTGTGTAATCACTGGTTCTTCATCTAAGTTGTCATCCATTTGCTATGTAGGGTCCTCTTCTTGTGGTTCTTCCATAGTTTTCCTCACAGGCTACAGTTTGGGCCTTATTCCTGACTTCCTTAACTGATAGCCTGCTCTATTGTGGCCTTGATCCCTACAGTAGTTATAAGTCATTTGCATTCCATGCTTTGACATTTTTGTTCCACTAGTTCCTTCTAATTCCACTGATTCTTTCCTTCTATTCTTAGGAGGTCTGCCCACCTTCTTTTCGTACAGAGGAGGAAGCACAACAGGAAGTCCTTGGACCTTCTCCCAAATGGACTTGTCAACACATGGATAGATCTTAGGACCATATGCAATCAGAAATCTTGCTGAAGTATAGCAGTCATGGACCATTGTTTCAGTGGGTATCCTTTCATGCCTTAGGCAAGAAATGGCATGTGAACAAGGTATACCAGTGAGATCCCACCTTCTACAGTCATATTGTTTCAGCCCAATGTTAACTACTAACTGATACCCCCTATCCTACACCTAAAATAT